TGACATTTCCTTGCCTAGCCTAACCAAATCTGACATTGCCAAAAAAAATAAAGAAAAGGGAAAAAAAAAAAAAAAAAAAAAAAAAAAAAAAAAAAAAAAAAAAAAATAGTAATAATGATATGCAAATAGACATGCAATAATAATTTCTTTTATTTCTTTTATCTATATAAGAATGTGGCAAATACCTAAGCATCGTGAAAATATATCTCGGACTGGCAGCGTCTTTTCCTCCAGCGAGTCTTGTACCGAATTGACCAATAGGCTGTAGAAGATTAATATTGTTGCTGCCGACGAAATTCTGAGCAAGATTAATTATAGTCGCCATCAAAGATGTCTCGCCGTGGTGATAAGCTGAGTGCTCGGCGACCGAGCCCGCCAATTGCGCCACTTTTACTTCACGTTTGTCATTCCGTTTTAAACAGGTAAATATCACTTTCCTCTGGCCCGGTTTAAAGCCGTCAATCATATTCGGTATGGACCTTACGTTGTCGTAATTACTGTATAATACCAGCTCGACATTGATAAAGTCCGAAAAGGAGACAGTGCGTGTGTCCTTTTCATAAAGATAACGTTCACCGAGGCCGATCTCCTTTCGCCTCTTTGTTTCATTCATATGGTTCATCAGCCAATCCTTACGTTGATCGACGCATTTCTTACTGAATGCCATGATGATGTTTTGATCGTCTCTGTCGCCCTCGTATCGAAAGCGTATTCTGTGTCTGGCCATATTTTCAAAGTACTCCTTCGCCTCTTTGGCGGTGGAAGTACCCAAACCTATACAAATTTAAAAAAAAGCTGTTAGATGTATGTTCTGTATTGTAATAATTAATGAAATGACAAAAATCCCAGATTTTTAAGTAAACACCTTTGTAGTATTTGATTTTATATGTGTGAAAATTTTCTGTATCCTTCTTCCATGCTTCAAATTCTGGCAATGAGAAGAAAGATAAACTTTGGCTACCCTTAGTAGCCTTCACGATAGGCGTAATGAACTCTTCGACAAAATTTAATTGCAACAATGATGGCCAATTGTGATGGATAAAATTAATCAAGAGACCTTTGATATGTGAACCATCCTAAAAAAATGAAAATTTAATGGTAAATATTTATGATAATTATATATAAAATCGGTGCGTCTTTTTTGTACGAAAAAAATTTAACCTGATCCTGATCAGTCATAATCATCATCTTTCCATAGCGCAATGTTTTTAAATCATCTCGACTCTCGTATTTTTTTTTGTATTGAAGACCAAGGATTTTGATCAAATTGTTGATCTCAGCATTTTCCAAGATTTGTTTGTGAGTAGCCTCCCTTACGTTTAACATTTTGCCTATAATCAAAGTACCAATTAATATCATGTTAAATTTTATCCAAATTTTTTCAGTAAGACAAATTCACCTCTTAATGGAAATATGCCATATTTATCTCTGCCTATGGAAGCGATACCGGACACAGCCATTGTTTTGGCTGAGTCTCCCTCAGTTAATATGAGAGTGCATTCCAATGACTTTCCAGTTCCTGCATCATTGGCGTCCTCCAATTTTGGTATACCATGAAGTTTTCTTTGTTTTGACTTAGGACCCAATTTCTCAAGTTGGCTATCGGCTTTAAACTTCGCCCAGGTTAGCACTGCCTCCACAACTCCGATTTTCGTAATCTACAATCGCATTCCGAGGGATGGTCAAGAATATATATACAAGATGCGACAAACATTTAATATCAAATTGCACTTACTGAAGCGATAAACTTATCGGTGAGCGTGCATTTGGAGCCGAAACTTTTCGCCTGTAGAGTCATGTTCTCTTTAGTTTGTGAGTCAAAGGTAGGATTGTTGATTAGACAATTGACAAAAATCCACATGTGATTCTTGATTTGAAACGGTTTAATGGCTATGCCAGCCTTATTTTTCTTCTTCAATGTTTCTATCAATTGTTTGACTATTAACTCGGTCACGTGATCGACGTGTCTGCCACCCTATCAGTATTCAAACATTTTGTATAAGTACTCGAAACAATTTTACATTTTATAAAAAATTACTATATACAGTTGTTCTCCTACCTTCGTTGTCGCGATACTATTTACAAATGACATTTGCTGAAATCCTTTGTCAGATAAAGTGAGAGCAATTTCCCAGCGTGGACCACAATTCTCATATACAATTTTCAACGAGTTACCAACATCATCCTCTTTCCCTTTAATGTAAAAATCAACATAATCCTTAAAATTCTTTATTGGAATACGGCTTCCGTTGAGATAAACCTTGACGCCCTTGCTGGATGCAGCTACATCATATGCTCTTCGAGACATAAGAGACACAATATCATTGTCAAGAGATTGCATTTTAAACTTTGTCAAGTCTGGCGAAAATGTGACCTTGGTGAAATCTTCTCCATGATATTCTTTAATCCTAGGTTCGCTAGCTTTTTCCATATTATTGCCCCATGTCTATATCAATGGAATAAAAATTATAATATATCAAGTAGAAATAATTAAAATATTGATGAATTGCACTCACTTGCTTCAAACATTTCTTGTATTCCTTTGTAGCTGTCTCAACGGTAAAACGATGACTAAAAATATTACACAATTTGGCGCCATAACCATTTCTGCCACCAGTCACCTTTTCCTCTTCATCATCATAATTTGATGATGTCAAAAGATGGCCAAATATCATGGTAGGTACATACATATTCTCCTCTTTATGTATTACTACAGGAATACCTTTCCCGTTGTTCCACACGGAAATAGTGTTATTTTCACTATACAACAAAATATTACAATGTAGTATTTACTTAGTACTTTATACAATTTATATTGAAATTCTGTTGAATATTCTAAAATGCAATATTTGATGTAACTTACGAATCAATATCAATCTTGATCATGTCCATCTTTGGATCGCGCTGCTTATTATCAGCAGCATTTACCAGAATCTCATCAAAAATTTTGTATAATCCAGGAACATACTTAATATCCTTTTGAACCATCATATCTTTCTCCTTGTCAAAGACCCACATCATTTCCATTACTGGTTCCACAGATCCAATATAGGTATCCGGACGCAATAAAATATGTTCCAACTGTGATTTCTTTTGATAAATACCCTCAATGGTCTTCTGCTTGGGAGCCGGTCTACGGTCGCCGGCCCCATTTTCCAAAGCTGTACTCATCTTTATGCACTGTATTTTCAGATATCTATAAATCAATGGCAAATATATTATAATGCAGAAACTTACAAAGAAACGGATTCTTCTACTAGAAAGAAAATCGAAACACAAAATTATATTTTACAATTTAAACTATTTTTTTAATAATCGCTAAAAGAGAGCGATTAAATTTTAGGCTACATTCTTGACAATCGCAATGTTTGTGAGATTATTTTGTCTTTGCTGTTGAACAAAAATTAAACAAAAACAGATAATATTCGCGAACGTTGCGCTCGTCCAGTGAAAGATTCAAAGTTCTCGAACTGTGTCTAATCATTGGTTTTTAAATTCAAAGTTCAATTTAGATTGAAATAAATTTGGCAAAATGCTCGCTCGCGAGACGAAAATTATTACCGAAGATGCAAGCGTCCACGTTGGAGGGAGCTTTGAAAAATATGGCGGGAAAAGGTCGTCATTTAATTGGCGCGGTGCCGAAGGGACGACGACGCCGTTTGTTCTCGAGACAGAGAGAACATCCGCGTCCTCCCCGCCGATCACGCGCGAAAGGCTCGATACTTGCTGGACCGCGAGCGATCGGCGATTTTTCGGAAAGAATGTGACCCGGAAGGGACGATAACGTACCTTCAATGACTGCGTCTCGACGACGACGACGAGGGTGCGCTGTTCGTTGCGTAGCGTCGGTCGACTCTAAGACCGCGGAACGTTCATTCGCGGGGCTGTGAATGCTAATTATTGGCATATCACAGGCAAACGGAACGGCGATCGTCCTTGATGGACGATAAGATACGACGACGATTCGCGTATCACTCGTTCGTGCCGACAACTATTATCACTCGCAAGTATCAGAGATCCACTCGTGAACGTGAATGTATATTGCACTCTATACTCTACTCAACTCTGCGTCCATTCAGTATCCGGTCCGTGTATAGGCTTCGCGCTATTCGACTCGTTTCTAGAAACACGATTGCCAACTTTTCCGCATGCAACCTTAAGCCCGTATCAGACTACGCATTGAAAATTGAAGATTAAAGATTGCAATTTGACTAATCAGAACAAAAGGGACTATAATTTCTTTGTCCTGATTGGTCAAATTTCAATCTTGAATCTTTAATCTCAATCTTCAATGCGTAGTCTGATACGGGCTTTAGGCTGCGTTACATTTCATGCATGATACATTACTAAGGCCCGATTCCACAACTTACTTTAACCGGAGTTTAACTCGTTAATGGAGGATTCACATTGCATTTGATGTACAATGTATGACGTCCGATTGGATACATCGGACATCAGACGTAATGTGAATTTTCCATTAACGAGTTAAACTTCGGTTAAAGTAAGTTGTGGAACTGGGCCTTATTCTTGTTCACCGAATGTTAAAAACGGAACGCAGCCAGTAATATTATATTTGTCGTACGACAAATTTTTTAAGCATACCGATTGGCTGCAAAATAAAAAATTTCTTGAGTCCCTAGAAATTAGCTAATCAATGCGCTTAAGCCCGTATCCGAGCTTGGTGAAATTGGCCCTAAGAAGTTTGTCGTACAACAAATGTAATATTATCCTTAAGCCCTGTTCACGTTGTTAGAACTCGAGGTCTCCGAGATAGCGTTTGAAAATTTATCGTCGGGTAAAATAGGTAGGATTTTTTTGTTTTGTGATTGATCAATTAAACGCTATTCTACTCGATGATAGATTTTCAAACGCAATCTCGGGGAACTCTGTACTCTATCCAAGTTTTAACTTTATATTGGGAGCTTTCCAGCAAGAAACACAGATAAACACAATTATGTCATGCAATTTGCTATTAAATAGAGAATTTTTAAAGACCCTACAATTTTTCCATTTAACAGCTAATCTTATATTGTTTATATTCGCTGATAGCGAATTTTTGAAGTTTCTAGAAATATTTGTCCAGATTAACTAAAGATGGAAAGCAAGAATATACAATGAACACAATGTCATACGATTGGCTATCAAATGTAATAATTTTCGGAACTTGAAAAATTCTCTATATTCGATAGCCAATTGCGTCTGTTTTCTTGCTGGAAAGCTACCATAGGAGAGTTCTTATCGAGTATCCAATTTAATATAGCGACTGTAACAGCTCAAGAACGACTTCACCATTAATTACCAACTCTCTGTAAAGAGTTGTTGATCGTTGAAGCCTTCTTTCCAATTTTATTTAATTGTGCCAAATGAAATCGAGAAAATAGGTCATAATGTGGAAATCATTTTAAATGCGTAATTCTCCTCAATAATGACGCACATATTCTTCCAATGAGAAGATACATTGTCGTGCTTACATGGTATATTTTATACAACTAATTCTTACTTCATTTTATATATCTATCGTACGGCAATATTACTTCTTGTAAGATTGTTATACTGTTAGATACTTCATTTAGTTTTATTCGGTATTACATTCAAAAAATCTATTAATGGTTTTATATGCTTGCTTTTCTACCGCGAACATGTTATTAAAAAGGAGAAAAACGACTCAAGCTCGTACTGCAAACGGCAGAAAGGAAAGCATATAGAGACGCGGAATAATAAATTGGAGTTAAATACAAAATGAAATCGCTACTGCTATTTCCATCGTAGGTTTCGGTGATTGATTTTCGGTTAGCAGCAGTTGTCCACATTGTTGAAAAATTGTCGAATTCTTGCTAGGAGGGGCGCGGCTTAATGGAATGATAATTGGACGAATGAAGAGATCGGTAGTAGAGTGAGGAAGAGTACCTGTGAAAAAAAGACGAAGTAGACCATGTATGTGTGTCCGTGTGTTGTGTGTATTTTTAATTTTTTACAAATTATATTACAAAATATGTATTAATCGAGCGCCGTGACATTGGATTAACAAAAAATCCAGAACATTAATTTAAATTAATTCATGCTTTTATAAATGAAAATAATAGACATCGATACATTCACAAATGTGAACAAAGCGACATTGAGAATGAGAAAGAGAATTGCCGCTCTAATTCTAAGAGTGCGAGAATACAAAGTTCTAAGAGCGCGGCAACTCACCAGCAATTACAACGCGAATTGCACTGCGGTCGCGAATGAAGATTTTTGTTAATATGGCTGGTGCCTCTGATTTTGGCGACCGCCACCTCCTCTCTGTTTGCCGCCATAGCCCGAGCCACCTGAAACAATGCCGACACTGTATCATTAGTCTTCATACTTGTCTGAGATACGAATTTATATATAATTAGATTTATATACACAATTATAATTACATACATGAGCGCGCGCGCACATACACAACATTGTAGCGTAAAACAGATTAATTCTTATACAATATAAAACATACACACGCGCGCGCTTTGATAGAGGAAGATACACTATACTACTAACAACAATCAGGTATACTACGGAAGAAAATACTACAGATAATAAATGTAAGAACAAAGAGGCTACAGGCTAAACTGCGCACTATTCGGATCCATATCCTTCTTTTCGATACGTATCTCTCTGGGATTATAAATTTTTTTTCTCTTGCTATTATAATAATGGATAAGCAACATATGAAAACTCATGTAAGCAAAGATGGCAAAAGCATGGAATATGAAATAATTTTTTTACAGGCACTATAATGTTTCTACAGTTAATCGAACTGAATTTACGTCGAAGTTATTATTTAGTCGACTTATATTCGCGATTGGAAGTCGGGGTTAAATTGCTCTCATAGCAGTCAAAAGGATTATAAAGATGGGTGAAATATTCTAGCGGTGGCAAAGCGTCAAACTGAATATAAAAAGAGAGATAGAAGAGCAAAATACTAAAAATGATGGGTAATAAAGTTATGTATCAAGGAACGCTGTAATGCGTACCTTTACCGCGTACACCACCGCGCCCGCCCGCGTAGCCACCATCGTAATTACCACCGCCATAGCCATAGCCATCTGCGTTTCATGAAACACATGGTACAAATGGAGTCAGTATCCGCACGTACCATCGAGATTTCAATGCGGTAGAAGAAACAATAAAAAAAAAAGGATATATATACTAACGCGACTATAAAGGAAAAATCTCGATTCTTCGGCGAAATTTTTAATCCGAGAAAAACGTAATGCAAAGATCTAAAGATCGTCAGGACACTGACCAATTTTATGAAAGTAAGTACCTCACCCTGGGACAGCACTTAAATTCGAAAATTCGCGATTTATGCTATATGACGAAACAAACAAAGAATAATCACCACCATATCCGCTGTAATCGTAACCACTGCCGTAACCGCCGTAACCGCTGCCGTAGTAATCGTATCCTCCATAACCATCGTACCCACCGCCGTAGCCACCTTGACCGTAACCTCCGCCGTAGCCGCCTCCGTAACCCTGTCCCCAGCCACCTTGACCTCCAAAACCGCGTCCACGGCCTCCTCGGGCGCCTCTACCTCCTCGTCCCATCATTCCGCCGCGCATTCCGCCCATGCCATCCAATTTGGGTGTCGCCTTTTTCACGTCCACCTTTGATAAGAGTTCAAAATTGATTAGAAAAGTTTGAATTCGATTATTGAATTGCAAAGAAATTAGATTGTAATGTGAAAGTTTATACAACTATTTTTATATTTCGTACAAAACTCACCGCTTTTCCATTGATGGTTTGTTTGGGTGTTTTAAGCAGTTCGTTGACCACTTGCTCAGATTCAAAAGTAATAAAGCAGAAACCTTTCCTCTGGTTCTTTGTCTTGTCAAACGGCATCTCCACCTCGACAATCTGTGTGAAAAAATTTGAGAATTGCATAATTAATTTTTTTTTGGTTTTGTTTTGGCTTGTTTATTTCCAAATCACGAAATACTTACAGTCCCAAATTGTGAAAAGAAGTTCTTAATATCGTCGTCGGAGAGCTCCGTCGAGAGACCACCGACGAAGATCTTCCCGTGCCTAGCTTTGGCCTTTTTGGGGTCGACCTTTTTGTTGTTGATGACGTGATCGCCGGCCGACATAATCTGCAAGAAATCATTAGGATTATTCGCATGCATAATATTGATTTACAGCATTATAGAAAAACTCTTCACTTTATCGTTATTACTGGAAAAGAAAAGAATATTACCTTATCGAGAGCTTCGGCTTTGGCGAAAACAATAAAGGCAAAACCTCTCGATCTCCCCGTATTGGGATCTGTTTTGACATTAATACTCTCAATGTCGCCATATGTGCTAAAGTGTTCCCTTAATTCCTCTGAAAAATTACGACACAAATTGCGGATAAAAATGTATGGATTTCCGGAAGAAATACAACCCATCAATGATCAAGAATGAGATTACTCACTGTCAGTAGTCTCCCAGCTTAAGCCACCAACAAATAATTTTCTGCAAACAATAAACAGAAACAAAATTTGTAAATAAATTTAATGGAGAATAATACGCTTGCCGCCCTAACTTTCCAATCGCTTTTGCGGTACTACGATTGTTACGAGTAATATTATCTCAATTGAATTTTTATATAGGCACACAATATTAAAATAAAAAAGAAAGAGAAAGATAGAAATCGAATGTGCCTCTATCAATCATAGAGTCCTGATTACTTCCGGTCAACCTGTAAAGCAATGGAACTAATTTATTTTACCAAAGAAAGAACAGAGATCTTTTTACGAATATTACATTAATTAGGTTAATAGTTTCTCAAAATTTACGTTTTAATGCCATTCCTATGCAAATTAAAACTACGATTTAACAGAGCGCAATTGACGATCCATGATGCTATCTGGAAAAGGCACTGCAAGAAATTTTAATGTTGATTTATGCAAGCACGATAATCATTCATCTTTTTTTTTATCAATTGTAGGAAATAGGAATTCCAATTACAGCAACATGCAATGTAGGTGTTGTCCTACATAAAGATTTGGAAAAATAAACACGTTCCTTGCATGAGACTAAACAAGATTGTTATTCTGACAGCAAAAGATAAAAAGAGTTACAAGATATACCATATCCCTAGAACAAATGAACTCTGATAAAGTTAAATATGTATATATTATTATACAATTTACATACGTAGTTGCTACGCGATAGCGTAGTAAAATTGAAGTTATGAAGAGACGGCGGCATTGCGCAACCACACAGGCAACTCGATTTGAACATCATAAAAAAATAAGTTTTGTGAAAAATATTAAAAGAAAAAGTTTTAGAAAAATACATATGCATATGTATGTATGTGTGTATAATATTATAAATCTGTGTGTATGTCAGAGTAGAAAAAAAAAAAAAAACGCATCAAAGAGAGCAAAGTACTGTTATAACGATGATCCAAATAAGCTAAACTCCAGTAGTTGATATATACAGCTGCCCCTAAAGAAAATACAAATAACTTCTCTAAGTTACACACACAAAAAAAAAAATAATCCCGATTATTAATATTGGCCCAAAATTAGTGGCACGTGGTAGTAGATTGACTGCAACTCTATAATATTGGAAAGCTAAAAATTAATTTCCATGTTATGACAGATTAACATTGGTCACTGTACGATTTTGCTCTGTTTTTATCTCCCTTGCTCTAATTTTTTTCATTTGATTTCTTTTTAAACAACATTATTATTATGCGTTACATCAGACACTCGTATGCATACATATATAAATTTTTCTATCTTACAGTTCATGTTCATCGAGAAGGCTTATTTTACATTATACGGCTCATTATTATGACTTGTCTCGAGTCTTAAGACATTTTTGGTTTTATATTTTTCGCATTCAAATAACAAGCTGCAATATGTACACACTTTGCTGTTTTTCTATCATTTTTTTTAAACTTTTTTTCCGGCGGTGTTAAGTCTGTATTTATATACGTTTATCGATATATACATTATAAATATATATCGTTTTTTATATCATCTAGGGCTGATGATAAATACCATGGGTACCAGTCACTCGCCGGTATCTGTTGTCAGGTCAGGTCACAGTTAGCCGGTTGCAAGCAGTCCACCATAATCGCACTGGGACGTTTGCCACCTGCAGACCAAGTCACAGAAACTGCGTTAATGGCGTTCCGGAGCTCCTATCGGAGATGTTTGCATTGGCCCTAGTGTCTCTGCGCATTTTTGTTCATGCCCAAATAATCCAAATATCACAATTCAGCGGAAATTACTCTACTTTGTATTATATCCAGCAGGCAAGTATGTGTCACTGCGGCACATATTTGATCTCAAGTAACGTTTGACTCGACTTGACTCCAGCATTTTTGTGTTGTGACGGAACATGATGGACTTGAGAACTCGATGCTTGATCGCTCACAATAATTCCAACCCCAAAGTTCATTTCATCAAGCTTCGCAGCTCAATTGAGAGATCCCAGACAAGCATTGGATGTATTTGTCAATCGTTTTGAGCAATTGACTAATCTGAATTTGACTGTAAACTGTTACTGTGAATAAGGACAGTTGACTCGTAACTGATCAAACGTGTGGATTTCAAAATTATATTCTCTATTAAGAAAAAAAAGAAAAAGAAATACAAATACACACAAAAATGTTATTCTTAAAAAGTACATATATAATAGATCTACATATACACATACACAAAACTTTATCAATGATGAAATTGTCTCTGCCTTCCGTTAATTATAGAACTAGAAGAGAGTTAATTGGCTGAGTAAGAACAGAAAGAAATTTACAAAAAAGTTAGAAAGCTTGAAACAGATGGACACATACCTCGTAATTATAGCATAATATATATAATAACTATATAATTATATTTACCTTATTTTATTTGTAAAAAACAAAACAATATATAAAATATATTTCAGATTTACTGTACAAGGGCAATTGTATCATAAAATGCAGTAAATTGTTTGATATATAATTCACATTTTATCTCATATATATAATTATCTAATATTCGTAAATATTGGGTTGCGATAATAATAGAATACAAAGCTGCAAAAAATGTTAGATTTGTCGGGTGTATTTTCTGCACTTGAGAAGAGCAACATCGTATTCGCGGAGAAAAGAAAAAAAAAAAATAAAATAAAAAATAGAACGAATGTGTGAAGAAAGGAGAGGTGACGCGCGAACGAATTCTCAAAGAGAGCAGCGTTAAAAAAAAAAAAAAAAAAAACTTTCATTTCATACGCTACAGATAATAATGAAACGAACTCTGTCCATTCGCGGGGACAAAAAAGAAATATACCCTCGAGCGCGTCATGATTGCGGGTTGCGAAGGAATCGCGCGGGAAAGCGATCGGTGTCCGGTGTACGATCGATGCGAACGGATTACGGATACCGTTTCGGTATCTCGAATCGGCCCTCGCCATTTTGTTCGACGGCTACTCGTGTCGCGAGGCCCGGGAGGGGACGCCGAGAGCAATTTCGCGGGAAAACGTCTCCGTGAGACGTAACGCGTACCGCGGATTACCGAGACCCGCGCGCGAGTATCATCGATCCGATTGCCGATCATCGTCCGCGACGAGAATCTCGACGCGATGGACGAGAAAAAAATCTTACCTGTCCTCCTGCGAGTCCTGGCCATTCTCCACGGCGTCTCCGCCGCCACCGGTACCGCCGCTCTCGGCTTCGCCGTTCTTCTCGAAACTTTGCTCCGCTATGTCCTCACTGAAGTCCTTGTTTTCTTGCTGATCTGCCATTGTTTACGCCGCGATTTACGCACTCGTCGTGCTCAATGATACGAAGGGAAGATCGTGTAGATAGAAAATAATCACACTCGCGCTATATCGGAGGACGTCTGCGCCGAGACGGATCCGCGGATGAAAGGAGGACAATGAAAGGAATGTTCATGCCGAGTTTTGAGAACGCCGCCGATGATTTGTGCTGTCCTCTGCAGAAAAACTATTAGACCGAGAAGCGCGTCGCTTCTCCGAATTCTCAATCGGGATAGAGCACTTCTTCGTCCCGATTGGTCGAGTCCACAGACTTCTCTATAATACACTAGACCGATAGCATCCCACTGATCTCTATGAAAATTTTCCAGCAAGAAAACACAGGTAAACACAATGTCACGCAATTGGTTATCGAATAGAAAATTTTTTAAATCTCGAAAAGTTTTTTATTTGACAGCCAATTGTATGACATCTTATTTATATACGTTTCTTGCTGAAAATCTAATATTCCAGGGTCCACGAACGCCATATTGATTTTTAATATATATTATATATATTATATATAAAAGCTGTGGATATATATATATATATAATTCACATTACATCAGATGGCGCCACTATAGCGCTGATGTAATTTTTTTTTTCTTCCTACAAGAGTTTGTTGGTTGGTCCAGTCGGAGCCGTTTAACATCTGACCTCGCGTGATGATTAGATTAGTTATTATTAGTTATCGCACGATTAGATCGTTTAGTTTGTAAGAATCGACTGTTATTATGGCTTCCTTGGTCGCGGATTACGGGACCTCCTCCGGCTCGGACAGCGAGACGAACGGTGACGTTTCGGATGATGCGTAAGTTTGGATCACTGTGAGCTGCTATCCAATTTAGCTTTTCTCCTTTTCTTTTTAGCGCTTCTCCATTATCTAATTTAATCCTAATCTTCAATAAAAGACATGAAATTCGCCAATATTTCTACTTAACAGGGAAATTGTAATGACGGAAATCCATTTTTAAGATGAAAAATATCGGATTTAATAGGTCATGCAACATAAGGCTGAATGCACAATGACAAGTGCAAAGCATTATGTATATTCTAATATAGGTAGCATTGAACTTAAGGAGAAACATCAAAGAGGCATACACTTATAAATTGAGTAAGATTGGATATAATTGTAGTCAAAAGTCTAAAGACTATATATTTATGTTGTTATATTGTTGTTAATACAAAATATTATTTTTGCTTCAAATTGTACAGTCTGTTTCTTCGTTTTCACGATGTTCTTCTTTTGCATCTAGAACTGGATATATGAAGGTTTGCTTATAACAGATTATATCGAATGCACTATATCTCATAACTCATATTTATACAATTCTTTTGTAAGAGACATGTTTGTTTCATGCATTCTATTTCTTGTTCCTTTCTTCCTTCTTTAAGTTACATAAGCAGAAAAATATTTATTTGATTTCTTTTTAAATTATACAGAGACAAATCTCTCTCTAAGATTTACTTGTCTTTCCAATAATTTATAAATCAAGTCTGTGCTTCTACTTTTTATAATTTCCTTTCTCTTGTTTTCTCTTTCAATGCTTGAATATATTTTTATTTTATCTCAAAGTCTATCCTCCATCCACCTCTATGTATTAAAACTATGAAATATTTATCTTACATTACAATAAAAATTAAACCATCGTTATAATATTGAACATCAAAGAAAAAATCAAGTTAAACATTTATTTAAATTTAGCAACCCTATGTACATACAGAATGTGGCTTGTTCTTTGTAATCTGATATTGCCTCACCGTTAGCTTTAAGGGTGTTGACAAGGTGGAGTCGGAAGAGGATGAAGAAGAGGAAGAGGATGATAATGATGAGAACAGCAACTCGCATAATGATGAGAACGGACACGTGAGAATAAACGAAACAACAGCTTCCAGAGAAAAGCTTCCATTACCCACGCCGGATTTCAATAACGCGTCCACGTTGTTGAAGACTTCGGTATTCTCGAATCCGTTCGTCGAAGCGGAACGAGCGAAGAGCGCGATCCTGGAGAAGCATGTCAAGATGACGCCCACGTTAGACGACACCAAGATGATAAACGGCCGTAAGATCTGTTGGAATTATCGGAAAGGCCGTTGTCGATTCGGTCATAACTGCACCTTCGCCCACGACTCGGATCTTCATCGCAGCGCGGCTGAATTGGAGGCTCTGCGGACTCCGCAGGAGACACTGGTCTGCCAGACTCGATACAACGGACAGCAACAGCAGACATCACCGACCGCAAACGACGAGGAAAACGAGGTGGATCAGGAGAACAATCAGACTGCGAACAGAAAACGCAAAAAGAGGCCCGGCTTGAGCCAATTGTTGCTTCCAAGTAAGAAAGTTTTTAAGCTGTACAAAGCGCAACAACAACAACAAACCAAAACTAGATGAATAACGCTTGTTCATTTAATGTAGTGATAAAAATCGAAACTGTCTTCTGGCTAACTCGTTACAGGTTGTTCTATATGAGAACACGAATTGAAAATGGAAATTTGAAAGATAAAAATGTGAAAAAAATTGCGAATAATTTTTAATTCGCTCTCGTATTACGCATATTTGATCGAGAATCGAATTTCCATCTTTTATCAGCATAATAGAGGCCATTAGTGTCTGGCGATGAAACTAACAAAATCTCGCGCAAGATTTAGATTAGCATTAATTAAACGAGCGAAAGCGATATAGATGTAAAAAATTCCGATTTATGCTTCCAATGCGAACCTAGCCTGCGATGTGTAGGATACAAATTTTATTCGAGAAACTTTTGTTATCTCACATAAAACTGCAAAAGAGCGTGCGTTGATTAAAATGACTCACCCTGTATATATATATATATATATGGATTTTTTTTCTCTATAAGTGTTTATAAGTTGTACAGCGATCATTTGTGAAAATTGAGAGATAAGTTGTAAGAACAATTAATTTTTAGATAATAATTTCCATTATATTGTAAATGAGCAAAGAAAATAAAGTTGGAGTTTTTAAAATTTCAATTTTTGAAGTTTGTATGTATATTACTTCTCTTCTGTGCCTATCATATTTCCGATATTCCAGAATATAAACTTGTGTAAGTATCGGCGGCAGGCCAAAAGGATTGGTCCTGCAGGGAGTTTTTTAGCGAGTGCGAGTCCCGCATATCCCACCGGACCGGCCGGTGCAGTAGATGGCGATTTAGTCACTAACGAAGAACACAGTTCACAATTCCTTCATTGAACAAAACAATGGAAATCCCTCTTCTGGGATACTCAGGCCTCCCCTTTCTGAGCATGTACGAGCATGGTCGAGCAGTAACGTTTCCCGTGGGATGGCCGCTGGAATCTGGAATGATCCGACGCGATTTTCAACTTTGTTACCTTCTTGTAAGATTTTTGCGCGATAACAGTTTGACTCGACGCAAGTTTTTATCGAAGAATCATGGCAATACATCATCATGTTCTTGAAACTAACGGAGGTCAGATGTGAATGCAGCGAAGATTAATCAAGCTTCCAGATATTTTTACATATTTGTTTATATATTTTACATTTTATACATACATATTTTTTGAAATTTTTTAAATCTTATAATATATTGTGTAAAACAGAAAAAATTTTATTTTCGACGTTTCCTTGATTAGTTGTTTGTCAGCTTTTAAAAATTATTTAACTTTATTATAGAATTTTTTCTGAGGCTTTATATGTAAAAGTTTTCAAAGATTTTATCTGAAATATTTTTATAATTTTTTATGGGGTTGAGTATATGTATCTGGAACGTTCATTATGCCCGATTTTGCAAAATATTTTAACTGGAAAATTTAATTTTATTGTTAACTTTCGCATTCGTTTGTCATATTAATAATTAAATAGACATGACAAAAATTGATTCTAAATTGTTATTACAGATCATTCTTGTAGCAAGATAGAGGAAATTTGTTATCAACACAGAGAATAGAATAGATTTGAAATGATATTGTGAAAATCATTAGCAGAGAAAGTTGTTTTGAGAAAATTATTGTTATAAATACGATTATTTATGGGTAATAATTATAACATTCATGTATAAACTTAATTTCAAGTTACTTTGGCATTAATAAATTGATATTCGTATGTGAACAGTTTTTTATACAGAAATATAAAAATTTATTAGGTGTTTAGCATTTAATGTAATTCAACTAATATTACATTATAGTATATTGAAGCTTGGAGAAATTTATAAATAAAAATATTGGTTTCATTAAAAACATAGATCAGTATTATGTCACGACATTTGTATGTGTTACAGTTTGTTGACTAAAAAGATCGGATTGTACAGCATTAAGAAACATAGGAACACTGTGCTGTCTTTGCAAATATTGCTCAATCAGGTTACTTAGGTTTGTGGAGAAGGCGGTCTCCAACAAATCCACGCCTTCTTCTCCTACATGGAAGAAAAGAAAATCTTCTGGTGATTCTGCATATTGACTCAATAGCTTATAATAACCTTCTTTTGTTCGGTCCACTCTCCAACCAAATAGCTGATAACACGCTTGGCGATATTCCTGTGATGATGCCTTAAAAGCCTCTTTCAAGCGCGCTATCTTTATTTCATGTGTTTGTTTCAATTCTGTAATTTCTATATTAAATAAAAAAATAAATAATTGCGCAAAGAATAATGCGAATAAGACATAAATATCGTTATCATACCTTGCGTCTGCAACAATGATGTGGTCGTGCCATAGTTTCCTGATCCCACTTTAGCTCGAAGCTCTTCTAGTTCTCGTAACAGAGTCGCTTGTTTTTCCTCGGCTTGTTTCTCCGCTATTGCCGAGGGATTCATTGTAAAATGTAGAACTCGAGCGTTGCAATTGAAGTCGCCCTTTAACGCACGATGCTCGAGCTCGCCTTTCAATTGCTCGATCTCTTCTCTCAGTTTATTATACTCGTTCTTCTGCGTGCCAGTCTCGGCCGCTTGAAGATCTGCTTCCAATTTATTAACTAAGTCCCTGAAATAATATTGAAAAAATATTTTTTTTGTTTTTTATAAAATAATTTTTAATTTAATCAAACATTTGCGATACATGCTAATACATAATTATACCTGTATCCATCTATAGCGCGTTCTAGAGCCGGTATTCTCTCGGTCATCGCATTGTTGCCATCCACTGTTATCTCTTTCTCGTACAAGTCTAATTGCTGTCTATAACTATCTCTTTCTCTGGTGACGAGAATCATCTTCTTTTGCAGTCTGCTTACAAGCTTATTTAGTTTTTCCTTTGATGATGTCACATCGGTAGCCAATTTCTTCGCGTCTTCATAATTCTTTGACAAGTTCTGTGACTCTCGCAAAACCGCATCCAATTTTGATCTGAGCTGACCTTCCTCTGATCTCAAGTCCACTTCAGCTTGTTGAAGTCGGTTCAGCTCTCGCTTCACTGCCGTTGGTCCGCCAGTAATGCCAATCGTTTCGTATTCTTGCAAGCGAAGCGCAAGCTCGGACCGCTTTGCCTCCAATATCGCCACTTGTTGCTCTACTTTTTCAGTGTGCTCTAGCCTGTAACAAATCATGCATTGTTAAATAAATGTAACATTTAAAAAAATGTAACATCTTATTTTAAATATGCATAAAGTACCTTTTCGTCATATTGGCCATTTGCTCCTCTAAGAGTAATTTCTCTCTGACTGACTCTTTTAGAACTGCAATAGTCTTTTTCGCTATATTCAAGCTCTTCCTACTAACATTTTGCCTTCTTCCCATAATGCTCTTTCTGACTCGAGTTTTTCTAGCTTAATTTTCATATTCTGTAGTTCCACATTTTGCAATTCATAGTCCTGTTGCATCTTGAGATATTCTTTAATCCTTTCCTCCAACATTGTTGTTTTAGCTTCCACAGTTTCCAATTTTAATTGTAATTCATTTGATTCGCTAGTATCTTGAGGAGGAGGAGATTTTTCTTTTGTAGACGTATTTCTCAGATTCTCCGATAATTTTGCATTTTCAGTTAACAATGATGCTATTTTGTTTTCTAAATTGTTCCTTACCTAATAAAATACAGATAATTAAAAAATGTAAATGTAAAAATATGTTTATGGAACAAATATATGAATTAACACATAAGATAATTACTTGGGACCATTCTTTCTCTGCAACAGCTTGTGCTTCTTTGGTATCTTGGATTGTCCGTCGTGCAACATCAAGTCTGACTTCTAACTGCTGAATGGTTTGCGAATCCTGTTCTACCTGGACTTGCAAAAGACCTTTCTCCTTCTCAAAAATTTCTTCCATCTGTCTGCGTATATTATGTAGTTGTTGTACAGTTGCCTCTTGTTGAGTCAATCTACTCTTTAATGATATAACCTGGAAATTTGTTTTTCTTTAAATTGTTTCATATATTTATTCAAATTATCTATTTTATTTGAATTATATAATGCATTTTTTTATAATAATAATGTTCGATATATATTTATATAATTATTATGTAGCATTTTTTAATATGTGTTATTTTACCTCTCCTTTCATACGTCGCCATTCCCAAGGACTACCTGGGACAGAATCAGATTGAGTTTTGTTAACTATAGATGTATTCGAGTCATCTAATTTTTGCCGTTTTGGTGAAATAATGCTGTCATCACTTTCATTGAATTTTGAACGTATATAGCCAGTTCCTGAGTATCGCACTGGTACTCCAATACTTTCACGATAGGATTCTGTTCCAGAACGTAGATCTTTTATCATATTGATAATACTTGTTGGATCCTGATCCTCCATCTAGACAAAATTACATTGCTTTTCTTACAATGATACACTATTCTTCAATTTCTATATATTAAATAATATAATGAGTATAAGAATATAAATATGAAATTTGTTTTTACATTTTTGTAAGGTCTATAATTATCAGTTACTTAATTTCATCTCTTAAACTTTACACTATTTTCTTACATTTATTCTATTTCTTTCTATATTAACCCTTTATAGAGAAATTAACAGAATATATGTAACAATAATCAAGATAACACCGGACACCGGATATCAGCGATACTAGCAACATTCAGTCATCGATCAAATACACCAAGATTGGTAACATATAATTGAGGGTGCATTCAAAAATCTTACCAGTGGGATAGAGTATTATTTAATTGACCAATCAGGTCAAAAAGAGCAAATATTTCTATCTCCTCATTGGTCAATATTTGCTCACTACTGCTACCTACAAATGAAAAGACCACTAAGTTTGTCCGAGATACTGAATTCTATGAGTTCAATGATTCAAGCCCATTCAACCTCGTTGCCAAAAATTAAAGGTGTCGACAGCGCGAAAGTACTTGTTATCTTGTTGTCTCTACGCTGCTATGTCCAAGAAACAGGACAAGGTGGACAACGGCATCCTGGCCGTGAAGAGCAAAGTGTGTATATATATCGTTAATAAAGAATAATTTTAAAGAATGTTCATTGAAAGTGAGAACAATGCATTGCTTAAATTGTTTTGCAGTTTGAGGCCGACATCATCAGATTTTCCATCAATCGTAATGAGCCTATGAGCTATGAGGATTTTGGTAAACTGTTGGCAGAACGGCATGATTTAGGAGCAGATTTTAAATTTTTAATTTGGTACACGGATACAGACGGTGATCTACTTCCCATCAATAATGATAACAATTTGGCTAGAGCTGTATTGACCACCAGGTGTCTGCTCAGAATTTTTATACAGAGGAAAGGTAAAATTATTTGTGATTTTGTGTATATTTTGTCTATGTGTGTATGTATATACATTTAATTTAATTATAATTATGACAGATGACGAAGCATGGGACAATGGACACGGGACAATAAAACCTAAAAACCTGATATCAAGTATTCTGGGTGGCACACCAGGAAAGCCAAAATCTATCGCTATTTCAAATCCACATGATTTTAGGCAGGTAAGTTTATACGTTGATTACTTTCTACTGTACTTTATGATATCAACTGATTCAACATTTAATTATTCTTACAATCAGGTGTCCGCAATTATTGATGTCGACATACTGCCAGAAACTTGTCGACGTGTGCGTCTTTTGAAACACGGTTCCGATAAACCCTTAGGATTTTATATTAAAGATGGTGAAAGCTTCCGCATATTGTCTGGAGGGGGAATTGAGAAAGTTCCAGGAGTGTTTATCAGCAGATTAGTACCAGGTGGTTTAGCAGAGAGCACAGGACTTCTAGCTGTAAATGATGAAGTCCTGGAAGTGAATGGTATAGAGGTTGCAGGCAAAACACTTGATCAGGTAAGATTTTTTATAGAAACAATTTTTTTGCATAAAAGCAGTATATTATAAGACATTAAATTACAAAATATTAATATAAAAGTTATAGTTATAATCGTTAAAGCAGTATTATTTATTTGAAAAGAATGCAGTTTTTAAAGTATTTTTTTCTCTGATACTTATACAGTTATTTATATTTAATAGCATTATTGCTATCCTAGTAAAATAATTAAAGCATTCTCAATAATAACATATTTAAAACACTTTCTACGATAATTGAGATTACCCCACAAAGATAAAGTATTTTTATAGCAAAATAAAGTAACTCAATCTTTTCTTCTTTTTTTTTATATGGTTATTTATGTATGGTGATGGTGACGGTTATTTATGTATAGGTGACGGATATGATGATAGCAAATTCCTCCAATCTTATCATAACCGTCAAACCGGCGAATCAGAGGGCAGCGTTGGCTGCACCTCGCCGCGGTTCCTTTTCCCGTAATAGTCAATTATCTTCGGGAAGTCATCAATCGACACAAAGCGCCGGTAGCGATGAGGAGGCGGATGAGATTGTCGATCTTACAGGTTTGACAATACAGGACGACGCTTCGGCGTCGTCTACTCAACACCATCATTATCATCATCATCATCATCACCAAAATTATAGTCATGATCAGGGTGTTCTGCACCTTTAGGGTGATGATTAAGAGAGCATATCCATTTTTGAACCCTCGAAAAGTGAATACATTTTCTTGATTTTTTTGCAGCGCAAAAACTTGATAGAAACTTTTTATTTTTTTTTACAATAATAATACAATATTATTAAGTACTTAAACAAAAATTTTCAGCTCAAAAAGAATTTTTTTTTTAAATTTATATGAATATTTGCAGAGCTCCAATTTTAGATGGCTGCACGGTGTGCATGAAAACGTTCGTAGATCATATTTGAAATAAAAAATACAAGTTTCTTTTTATTAAACATTAATAGCTATCAGCATGAAAGCTGCGACGGGCTTGGCCGAGCCACGCTGAGCTATGCCGAGCTATCTTTCTGTTTGTAAGAAAATTTTGTAACTTCGTCAATTCTTTGAATGTCTACATCAGACTTGCTTTATATTGTTTTTGAAATGTTAAGTTATGAAAATATGCAAAAAAAATCTATTTTTTGAAATTTTCAGACGGGTATGCCCTCTTAATTGATTAACCCTTGAACAACAGACAGCGTGACAGCTACCGAAAACTGAGTCCATTTTGATCTATAGCAAAATTTTTTTATACGTATTGCAAATTAAAATTTTATAATGGATTTTAATCTGGGATACATAAAAAAGAATATATATATTATATTCCTAAATATTTTTTTCTTAAAATATTACTGTGTGCTTAAACTTAAAAGGAAAAGGAAAATATTAAAAAAATAAGAGTTACACATATTGATATTTTTGTATAATGCACCTATTAAGTATTTGTATAATGCATGTATCAAATATTTGTTTCGCATATGTTTTTATAAAATTTTATAAAATATTCTTAAAAGATAGATCACAAGTGACTCAGAATCTGCTGGAGGGGGTTAAATTATGCTCAATTTAATAGCGTCCGCTAATATTATTCGCGAGAGAAGTTATCTAGGAATAAGGCTCTATGGAGAAACACGTATATACGACAATAATCATGTTGATGGAATTTTACGAAGTTTTTAGACAAGTTGATAGATGTAAGGAGAGTTTGTTGGTTACAGTATAAGCTACGTCTTCGAACTATAAAATCAATAATTTGGAACAACTAATGCTATTCTATGGCTTCGACTTTGAAAGATGAATGTCATGCCTTGCATGTAAAAATCATAGAATGAAGATCTATATATTGTTATAAAGTATCGAGATAAGGTAAATAGAAATAGAAAAATAGCAATCAAAAGAAAAAAAACAATTTCTGAAGTATTATATTATAAAAGAAATTGCAATTGTGACTGAATCGATATTTCATGCAAATTCCAAGTTTAAAAGAAATGCGTGTGGAAAAGAGTGCTGTTTTTATTATGAGAAACAGCAATTATAAAATCGTCTTTATACTTTATTGTTATTCTAATAGCATTATATCTTATAGATGAGAAAGAAAACAATGGAAAGAGAAAGTACTTATATTATATTGCATTTTTTACAATATATTTGTACTCTAGTGTCTTTTAAATTATATTGAAGTTTTTCTCGATAGTTGGACGTATAGCTCGATTGATCAAAATATTTTCTTTACATTTACGAATCATTCTTTCATAATATTAATTGAGAGCAATTAATTTATCCATTTTAGGAGAAATTTGGATTCCTTTATTTCATAAAGTATTATTTGATTTATTTGTCTAATATACTTGACAGATAAATTGATATCGACTATAGTATTCAAAGTATCATAATTTTTTCTTTTAGTAATTAGTTACTTGAAATTAATATGTACTTAAAAAATAGATGAATATGAAATGGATGATATGATTTTTTTTTTATAATGGATATTTTTAAAACTGAGATAATATGCTTGTTCATCATCCAGATGCTCACTAATGATACTTGATTGTACATAATGCATAGAAAATGGGACTCAATAATTTGTCTCGACTGAAAGATGTCTTTATATTAATGTAAATAATGATCGATAATATTATCGGAGAAAATATCGATATAAATCTTTCTGTAGTTTAATGACGATACGAAAAACAAAAGTGGCCTTACATTATACATCATTCCAGCTACTTTTAAAAATGATATAAAACTATAAGTGTTCCCTTTTTTTTATAACGCAGTCACACGTCTATTCGTGTATTTACTTCGTCTGCTCCACCACATGTTTAGACTGTTGAAGTTTTCGAATTTTAATTTCATTTTTATCTATGTTATCTGTTATCTAATTGCAGACTGAGGAAATCGTTTTAGGGCGGTAGATATCGATGGAAACATCAGGGGAATAACGATCCTATTTTCATGTGTAAAATATTGTTGTTTGTATATCTTGTGTGCCTTTATCAAAGTGGAATTAATATTAGGAAACATTATTACATTCCAATTATATATTTACACCGTTGAAAAGAAAAGAGAGCGAGATATAACGTTTCTAAGAAATCTATACTGCCTTCATAGTTATGCGCGAATCTATTTTTATATGCACTCGATCCCATTTTTTCTACTTAATTCGGAAAAACGTGTGTGTGTGGGTATATGTTTGTGTATGTGTATATAATATCTCCTAGATATATTATTCTCTATTGAATTAGTTTTTCGTAATCGCAAGGTATCACTTGGACTTCCGCGATAAGCGCATTTTTAATGGCGCTATCGGTTACCAAATTATTGGGTGCGTTCAGGAGACACAACCGTTGAGCATCGTCTTGTCAACACTCGAC